CAGTTTTGGAAATTCCAAGTTACAATTGTTTTGAAAGCTGGGAATGCGTACGAGATACTGACGGGACAAAGTGTGAAACCTGCAGCGGATGGAGAAGATGGAAAGAAGGACCAAAAACAACTCAAGGAATGGCAGAAAGGAGACGCTCTTGCACAAAAAGTGATCGTCCAAACGGTGGAGAGAAGTGTGATGATTCATCTCATGAACTGTGACAGCGCAAAAGCAATGTGGGATGTACTTTTGAAACTCTACGAACGAGATGACACCGAACAAAGATGCCAACTTCTGGAGGAATTTTTCAACGCTAAATATCAGAAAGGTACTTCCATCATGAGCCATGTGAGTACTCTGGAAAATCTCTACACAAGACTGAATGCTATTAAGGGAAACGTGTCTGAGCAAATGTTAATAACTAAAATTATAACAACCCTACCTAGTCATTACAGCTATTTTTCTGCAGCTTGGGAAGCCACAGCTACTGAGAGTAAAACTTTGGTAACTTTAAAATCACGACTCATGGCTGAGGAAAATCGTCACAAGAGCCAAAAGGCTGAACCTGAAGGCTTAGCTTTCAGAGCACAAGTGCAGAAATGTTACAATTGTAATCGAGTAGGGCACCGTTTGAAAGAATGTAGGGATAAAATTGTCTGTAATCTATGTAACAAACCGAATCATGTTGCCAAATTTTGTAGAAATAAAAATGGCAGTGCGCGTGATAAAACTGATAACAAAAATAAAGGGTCTCATCCTCCTTGTGGAATTTGTAAGAAGACTAATCATCTAGAGGCACAATGTTTTTTTTGAGATAAGAATGAAAGTGATGAGAAAAATAAGAGAAATAAGAATGGTAAACCTGTGCTTATGGCAAACAATTTGTATGACGGTGACGTCAAAACATGGGTCATTGACTCCGGTGCTACGTCACATATCTGTCGTTCTAGAGAATATTTCACTGAATTTGTTAAGTGTAATCACAAAATTGGTGTTGCCAAAGAGGGCGAATTTTTGATCGCCAGAGGAATAGGAGTGATTCATTTTGATCGATTTATTTTACGTGATGTGTATTATATCCCTGAAGCGTCTAGAAATCTAATTTCCATAAGTGTAATAACCCAGCAGGATGGTCAGGTATTCTTTGATAAAAATGAAGTAACAATTAAAAAGATGGTAAGTTTGTATTTAAAGGTACTCAGGATGAATCAGGTCTCTTTATTGCAAATGCAAAGGTTTGTGAACTAAGTGAGATTAAAGATGAGGATATGAAAGGTAACGCTTTTCTCACTAGCCCTGCATTAGATTGGCACGAAAAAATGGGGCATTTGGGTAAAAACAACATGTTAAAACTGGTAAAAATGGCCGAAGGCATTAATTTAACTGAAAAAGACATTCTGAGCATGTGTGACAAAGATAATTGTGATGTTTGTTTGCGAGCAAAACTAACTCGAACCCGATTTGGAAAGGAAAGAGAAAGAGCAAAACGGAAATTAGAAATAATACATACAGACTTGTGTGGCCCTATTGAGCCTGATACATTACCGGGGTCCAGTAACATTACCAAGAAAGTCGATAATTTTACCGAGATTTCTCTGTAAAATTACCAATTCCATAAATGGTAATTTTACCAAGAAAAAACTAGGATCAAATAGAACCCTGAATTCTTGGTAATTTTACCCTTTTCTTAGTAAATAAACCGAGATTTTTTTTTCAGTGTGCGGTGCGATTACATCTAAAAGAGATCAGACAAATTTCGAAGGAAACTCGATTTCGGAAATTCGAGAGCTACGGCTCTGTTGGCCGTGAAATTCGGCAAGTCTCAACCGCGGCCGAGAATAGCCACGACGAACCCGGCATGCAGGAACTGGCGGAGGTGCGCGCGCAGACAAGGCGCAACTTGGACGCGAACGCACGAATCACGATGCGCTCGCCGGCTCACCACTCGGGGCTCGGGGCTTACGAATATCGACCCGGGCCGGGGCTCGACGAGTTTAAGTTCTGGCTAATTATCTCCTTCCAGCAAATCACTCAATCATAAAAACGAATTTATTATTCCCGCAGTCGACCCCGGCCCCAGGGGCTATGGGCTTTGTGTTCTCGCACTTCATGCCCCCCGCCCCACCCCTCTCGCCAGACGATTGTTGGACGATCTATCCTTGTCTTCCGCCTTGCGGCCAGCCAGCTGTCTTCGTCCAATCGCGCTGGGCTTGTATCTTTTACTCATCTCACGTTGCCGGATTGACCGTAAAATGCAGTGCACTGGAAAAAAAAAAGTCGCTTGGATAGAGAGTCCAGGCTCTTGAAAACAATGACAAGAAAAAATACTCTTGACTAATCGGATTTTTGCCCGAATCAAAAGGATATCCACTTAAATTAAAAGGCTTGGCTCTCAATTTCGTTTTGATCAATAGTTCAGACTCTTGAAAATAATATGACAAGAAAAAATTCTCTTGATTAATCGGATTTTTGCTTGAATCAAAAGGAAATCCGCTTAAAGTAAAAGGCTTGGTTCTCAATTTAAGAAAAAATCCGATTGAATCAAGAGTAGTTTTTCTTGTCAATGTTTTTCAGAGTCTATGGACTCTAGACCCAAACGACTTTTTTCCAGTGATGCATTTTGCAACAAGGAACTAAAATTTGTAAAAACTCCTATCTACACCGGGGAAACTAACGACACATCGATATCCAGAGTGCGAAACCACGTATCTCCATTTGCGACATCGCAGACATCCGGCCTTACTTTATTTTTTCTTCGGAAAATTAGTTAACGTGATTTCTTGAAAGCCTCATTGCATTTTCTTTCCTGCGCTGTTAAAAATTGAGGTGTGAAATTCGGTGCCTGCGCCTGAGTCTATATAGCGCTCAAAAATCCCGGATGATATGAAAGGGAAGTGAAATTTGCATCATAAAAGAGTGCAACACTGCGCTAAAAGAGTAGATTCCATTCCGTAACCGTAAGTCACTCCGTAAGGAGCATATAGATTTTGCTGCGCTTTCATATCACCCGAGGTTTTTGGGCAATATGTACTCGAGCATTCAATATCAAGTTTAATTCTATAAATTTAAATATAAAAACTTTAATTTTTATCTATGGTTTAAGAATTTCTAGATTTCCACCTTTTCTTGGATTCTTGATTAAATGGTTAGTAATTAATTATTTTTGATACCATGGTCTGAAACTCTTAGTAAGATTTTAGTTTCAGTTTTATCAGTTTATTTTTATTTTCAAATATTCTTTTTTTGCTTTATTAATATTTAGTAGATGAGTAAAATGATATACTAGCAATTTTATTAGGTTTGGATTATTAAGATTTGTATTTTTAATCATATATTATTCTATTTATTCTTTATTAAAATTTTAAGTTAAGTTAAACTAATAATTTTCAAAATTATAATTAAACTTATCAGTTTAAATTTTAATAAAGGAGGATAGACTTATAAATAAATTTACAATTTATTTACGATATTCCCAAAACCTTAGATTTCGTGTATCATCGCAGTCAGTTTCACTCGAATGTGATGAAAAATAAGACAGAAAAAAAACACAGATTGATTGGTACCTGTTTTTTATAAGCAATGCTTTGATTTATCATACACGATTTGTTATGTATTATACGTGAATTAACTTGACTATTAAACTGCGATTTTACGTCTCCAGAAAATATTAGACCCAGTTCCGAATTGACGTAGTGTGCGTACCTACTAATTTTCTGGTAATTCTAACCAATGCTTTTTCTCAACACGCGATGATGTCGCGGGCAAATAGTGAAATCAGGAATGTCGTCAAATGCCTAGGCAGATAGTCAAATTTTAACGATCTACAAAATGTTGTGAATTTATGGCAAAGAGCTCACGATTTTTCACTATTTTTCGAAAAATAACTCATCAAATCTACAAACTCTTTTTGTCTCTTCCGCTCTTCAATTGCTTCTCATATTTTTTAAATGTTGAAATTCCAGAAATTCTGTATTTTACGACATGCTGAAAATTCCAAGATCAGTGTCTCCTTAGGAGCTAAAAATTGTTTATAATACCTACCATTGTGTGTTCATATTTTTACCGATGATTTCTCTTGCAGGAGGAATGAATTATTTTGTCTGAAATTAGGAAAAGAATCAGAATTTCAATCTGAGTTAGAATATTTGACTATTTGCCGAGGTATTTGACAAAGTGCCTAATTGAATCAGTGAGAACGAAAACACACCAATTAACTCGAAAATACCTACTCAATTTCCATTAAAGACAGTTAATGTACATAAAGGTCATTGAAGTTAGCGCGTCTGTTCCAACTTGGACCTTTAAAGCGGCCATGCCATAAGTACTTGTTTTTCGGCAGCAAAAATATTTTTCTTAAACTAACTTCTTCACCTACTGTGCAGTTTTGTGTGTGTCATGATTATTTTCATTTTTCCGAGTTGGTATGTTTTCGTTCTCACTGCACCGAAAAAAATTGTAAAGTTGATTTAACATTCTAGGTGTAAACAAAGTGTGTGAGAAAAAATGCTAAATTACCCGCTACGGCAGTTAGTTTTACATCTTGACATTGCTAAAATAACTGCCGTAGCAGTTAATTCAGCATTTTGCAAGTTCTTGCACACTTTAATACATCCAGAGAGTTAAATCAACTTCATTATTTTTCAATGTGATTCAATTTTACTATTTGCCTGTGACATATCCAAGATGCATCACCACGCAGCAAGGCGGCGCAGGTAAAAAAACCGCCGCAACTTGGCAACGCCCGATGGGAATACTCCTCAGTAATCACAACCCGAAGCCAGAGGAGAACAGACCATCAACAGCTCAATCTCTGGCCACGCCCACGGCCCTCTCCCCGGCGCCCAATCCGCGGACCCAAGCGTCCCTTGTAACCGCGGCCGCGATTGGTCGGCCGCCGCGGAGTGGGGGCCGCCCGCGGAGGGGAACTCGGTGGGCGGAGCCTCGCCGCGCGACGGCACCGAAAACCCACATGTTCCCGCTCAGTAATCACGCGGTTAATATAGATAGCAAACACAACTGGTTGCTTTAGGGGCGGAGACTAGGGGATGTTAGCGTTTGGAGACAGATTTTTCCCCCCGAGGTCTCCGAGATTATGAAGTCTTAGTTTAGCTGTCAGTCCCGTTCTTGACGTCTTGACTCGTGACCCGATCTTAATAACCGCGCAACCCGTGCAGTGTCCGACATTGTCCTCGCTACAACAACATTTCCGTCCGCCCGCGCTTTCCGGAATAACGTGTTATCAGTGCTGGATACCTACTCCGCGCCGACCAAATCGCTCTTGTGTTTGTTGTTATTAAACCTTACATTTGTGCGTGCGTGTTTTTTTTTTATTTCCAAAACTCAAAACTTAATAAATAAATTGTGTCCATCATCCTCGTCGTGCTAACATTTTTAAAATAATTTGCGCGCGCTAGCGCGTTATCTCATTGTGTGTGTAATATTTATTCAATAACTCAAAACTTTAAAAAAAATTGTGTTTCATCGTTCTCTTCGTGCCAACATTTCCAAATAACTTGCGCGCGCGTTAGCGCGATTCCCATCCCATCGTGTGCGGGTTTTTTTCTTTAATTTTTTATTTTTTAAAAGTATAAGTTCGAGTGAAGTTTTCCAAGATGGAGGAGTCGTTATCGACCTGAGCGGCGCTTGGAGTTGATGATTTCAGCGGCTTTGGAGCACGGGAAAATGGCTCTGGAGACGGACCGCTCGAGCCCGAACAGCGCCTCGAGCCCGGGCCCGACGACGAACAAACGCCCGTCCTCAACCGACGGTAGCGTGTCCGGCTTCCCGCGGGTACCATCGCCCAAACCAGACTCGAACCCGGACCCCTGGACCCAGCGCCCCGAGACGAAGCTCGCTAAGCCACCGTCCGCCTTCCACCAGATCTCCCTCCTCAGCCAGTGCCATGCCGAGCCCCTCCAAAACGGCAAAGACGAGAAAGAGTCCGAAGAACCCCTCGCTGAGAGGCTCGTCTCGCCCGGCGAGAACCTAAAAAACGGGATAGTTCCTTTAACGAAACCTATGTCTATATGTTCACCTCTCCAAAGTAAAGTCCTAAACAAAGAGAACAACAACAAAATTAAACTGGAGGAGTACGCGAAGCCGGAGTTGAGATCGCCGCGGGCCGACCGGCCCCGACCCCAGTTCATCGACCGGCGATTCGAAGCCGCCGACTACAGGTACAAACAAATCCCGATCGCGGATAAAGTCTACCCGAGCTTCAAACCGATGACTCCGATGGACCCGAGCATCCCTTTGAACCCGGCGATGATCCCCGCAATGCTTCCAGGCCAAAGACTCCAGCCGGAGTACCCGCTGCCCATCCCGGGGCTACCCTTCACGCCCTTGATGTACGGCATCGGGTTTATGCCGCGCGCACTCAATCTTCAGATCCCCGGGATGTACCCTCCGGATATCCGGCTGCCCGAGCTTCAGAGTGCCAAGCTCATGTACGAGTCGCTCCACCTGCCGCCAACGGAGACCCACGCGCCCGAAGAGAGGTACTTAACCAGCTTCTCGCCCTCGGCATCCGAGTCATCGAGGAGTTTCAATGCTAGTCAAAAGTGCTCGCCCGACGCCAAGGATTCGCGACCCTCCTCGGCGTGTAGTTCGGTAACTTCGAGTTCCAGGGAGCCCCGGACGTGGAGTTACTGCCAGTCTCCGACCCCGTCACGGTCGCCGTCGCCGCCGCCCCAGACGACGTCGCTGCCGTTCTCGGTGACGAATATCCTGCGCCCGGAGTTCGGGCAGAACTTGTTCAACCAGAGCAGGCCGAAGAGGGAGCTCCAGAAGGAGGAGAAGAGGCCGCCGCCGAAGAAGCCCAAGTTGACGGCAGCGGAGCCGGCGACGGTCAAGGCGGTCGCGGCGCCGCAGAGCGCGCCCGCGGCGACGCCCGCGCAGACGCCGGCTGAGGCCCAGGCCGCCAAGGAGAAGGAGCAGGCCGATTTCGAGAAGGAAGCCAAAGAGCAGGGGTGGCCCGCCTGGGTCTACTGCACCAGATATTCCGATAGACCGTCTTCCGGTAAGCACCACTTTATTTTCACCGCTTTAACATGAAATCGAGACGGAATATAAAGTGTTATCCCCTACACTGGAAAAAAAAATGGACCTTGGACCCTAGCCCTCCCAAATTTTAGCGTACCCCAAAATCGTTTGACGTGCATAAGGAGACCATGGATATGGTGTTCTCTGCAAATTTTGAATGAAATTGAACAGATAGATTCTGCGATATCGCTGTAGACAGATTTGGGGGACGCCAGACGGACGGACACACATTTTTTCAAGTTCGGTTATTTTGACTCCAGGGGCCTTAAAATGTCTAGAAATTATGAAATTTCAACTTTTTTTTTCTTTCTTTCTTGGAGGATGACAATACTTCCTCTCTACCCGAGGGGAGCGAGAAAGTAATACGGGCTATATAGACATGCCGTTCGTTCCGGGAATAAAGGCCGAAAGTTCCGGGTGATGGAGCCGTAGCTTATATATCGTTGCGGGTGCTACACCCGGGACTATCGGCTCCTGAGCCCAGGACAGGGTGGCAAGAATTGTAAGAAAGAAATGAAAGATTGGAAATTTCGCGGAAATATTTCATGAAATTTCACTAGTCTGTAAAATTTTTCATATTGTACAGGAGCTGAAGTTTGCAACCCGCACTCAAACACACAAAAATACAAATAGAAGGAAGTCACAATTTTTACGTTTTGCGGAATATAAATAGGAACCGGTATTTTTCGACAGCTTTCGGAAATTTCTGTAATGTCGTGGAATAATTCACGTGAAATTTCAGGATTTTATTCTTCATGAAATTTTGCCACCCTGTCCACGGAATAAAAAGTACTAGGGGTTGTCCCCTAGAAAAAAAAGTTACGGGCTATATAGACGCACCGGTCGTTCCGGGAATATGGACTGAAAGTTTCGAGTGCTGGAGCCGTAGTTTATATATTGCTGCGGGTGCTATGCCCGGGACTATCGGCCCCTGAGCCTGGGGTTAACGATATATCTATATAGCCTGTAAGTACGGCTTCCACGGCCGGAGTTTTTTTTCCAGTGTAAAATTTGTCGTTTTCCTCACGAATGAATATGTAACTACATTTCAATGTTGCAAGCTTCTTCCGCGTAAATTGCATTTTCATAAGGAGGATTTTAAGAATTTCATAGCGTGGAATTAATATTAGGACTCAGGAGAGCTGTGAAAAAATACGTGGATGTATTGAGACACAGGGGATGCTGTCTGTTAATGTCATAAGGAGGTCGATTTCCTTGAGGAGGTTTTAAACTTAAGCTTAGGTATAAAACAACTTTTTTTCGTGATCCCATAACAGATTTTTTTCCTTCTTTTTTTTCTTATTATAAACTCATCTTATTTAATATTTTTACGGATAAAAATCATAATTTTCGTGCCACTGACCCAATAAAATATAGTTTTAAGGCGTTGTGTTAATCAGTTTTCCGTGAATCTTTAAACACGGTTGGAAGTTAACTGATGTTAAATGCAGTTCGGATGATTATGATGGATGTATTTTTTATAGTCGTTATAGCTTCGCAATTGCGAGCAGTGGCGTAGAAAGAAATTACGACGGATGAGGCAAAATTTCGGTGAGGGTGATATGGGAAAATGAGAAAACTTTTGAGGCTGAGACTGAGATCATATTTTCCCATCAAATTTCAAAAACTCGAATTTTGATGGTGTTTTTCCTTGATTAATAATTCACACTTTTGCTTTGCTGAATAAAAAAGAGGAGAAAAAAATTCCCCTGAGTTCTTACAGAATTTGCACGGCAAATAGGACTTTCAAAGTAAATTTCAAATAAAATGAATGGGGTGGTTTGGCATTACAGTAAACTTTTCCAAGCAATTTAAAGCGCTGCAATATGAGATCTGCGCTTCTGAATTTTTACCAGCGATGAAACGCTCCAATTCCAAGAATTTAGTAAATCGTATTCAAAACATCTCCACCGTATTTGTCACAAATTATAATATTTTTATAAAGATAGGAGAATAATAATTTAAAAGTGAGACTGTATGCTGTATGGTGACGTCAGGAAACTGCATATCGTATGTAAAACCGCGTATTTTAGCAGATTTGATCCCTCTCCGAGATTTTCCATCTACATTTCTAGAAACTAGAAAGTGAGGATAGTGATGTTCATATAGCTCACACGAGTGGTTTTAATTTTTGGATAGAGTGCATCAGCTTTTCGACACGTACGGATTCTACGCGAGGTTTTTAGTAAAATACCAAGTACTCCCCAGATTAACAGGGAAAATTTGTTTCTCACACCATTTTTATGCGTTTAAAATTTTTTGTCCATGAAAAAATATCTGACCCTTTTAATCACGAGGAGGCAAAAAAAGGAATCGTTACGCATTTACATTTAAGGTCTAAATATGTTTCTAAAATGTTCATGATAATTTGGCAGGTGTGTGCCCTCTCATATTTTATAATTATTCATGTAGTTCCCGGAAAAAGTAGTTTCATGCCGAAAAATTCATAGGAAACAGTATGCGTTAAAGCATTTGTATGATAGGTATTTTTTCCCGCATTTATGGGCCCGTTTAGTAAACTCACTGTATTCGAATTCGAGTTTTCCTCGTTATCAGTCTAAAATTCTGTTCGGTTCGTTGAGCGGTTTGCCAAAATTTTTCCTCAAAACAGATTTTCCGCACAGCATTCTCATCATTGATTAATACTCTAACTGTACATGTGTCGCAGACAAATAATAAAATCAGACATTTTGTCAAATGCCTATACAAACAGGAAAATATTCTTACGTTACATTGAAATTCTGATTCTTCTCCAAACTTTAGACAAAATATAATTCATTGCTCCTGTAGGAAAGAGATATCCGTAAAATTTTGCGTCAAAAATTGTGTTATAAACGGTTTTTATAGCTCCTGAACGAACGTTTATCTCGAAATTTTCAGCGCGTCATAAAGTACGAAATTTTTAACATTTTTTAAATATTTGAGAAGTATTTGAAGAGGGAGGATCAAGGAGAGTTCGTAAACTTGATGGGTTATTTTTTCCAAACTTTGAAAACTCGTATACTTTTCACCATATTAAAACCTTTCACCCTTCAACCTTTCTACCTTTTTAAAATTTCGTAAACTGTAAAAATTAAATTACCTGCGCAGGGATTTGATAAAATGCCTGGTTTGACGAACTACCTGCGACATATGTATTGAAAATCTAAATTAATAGTGTTGCTTAACCCTCAATGAAAGGCTGACAAGATATTTTGCGCTTTGTAAACTAAATGAATATTTGACGAATATAGCTTCAGATAGCGGTGCTGGGTGTGTAAAATATAATGTTTCTGGCTGAGCCATCTTGATCCATGACTCCCTGTCCTGTCGGTACATTATCGCGATGTCAACGTGACATCACTGGACAATTTAATGGCACAAAACGAGACGGTCACAGAACCGACTCGGACTTAAGATATTAAAAAAGTAAGAACTAAAAGCGAGGGCATAAGTTATGGCTCGCTGTCGACGAGCTGATATCACCAGCCGAGGGAAGGGGGAGGTCTGTCAAGTGACAGACAGCTATATTCAAAAGCAGGTGAGGTATCATTATTTTCTAGCCGATGCCATGTCGATATAATGGGAGCTGGAGCAAAGAGAACACAGACTCAGTTGTCGCATTTCAATATTGGCCTGGCCTGACAAGGACACTGTCCTCTGCTCCTAGCTCTAACACCATTGTTGTCACGCCCAGAAATGAAATAGTTTAGAGTTCGTAATCAGTCACCGATTAAAACAGATTTTAAATGCTGCTCCTTTTTCATAGCCGCATTTGAGAAGCACGAAAAAGAAAATGACTCGCTCTTTTAAAAAAGTATGGTTTGAGGTACAGTAATATGAGCACGGTAATAATTTACAAGCAGACTCAGTGATTGAAAAGACTTTTACTCAAACAGCATTCGAGAGTAAGATAAATTCTACCAGATGTCTGATTAATCTTACCCTAATTATTTTTCAATTCGAGTAGACTCATGGATGTGCAATACTTTTGCTCAGGGCGATAAAGCTTTGTTGAAAAATACGGTTCGTAGATCCATTATTCTCCTTCTCGTTTTTTCTGTCTCCTGAAACTCTACGCCTCCTAAAGCACGCGAAAGGAGCCATTTTTTTGCACGGACTGGATTTTGGACATTACTATTTGTGCTCTGTCCTTGCACTCTGCTTGTACGCCGATGAGGTTGCAAGCTTAAAGCTTTAATTTTCTCTTCCTTTTTTTTTCTTGAACAATGAAGTTCTCTAATGCATTTTTTCCCCATCTGCATTCGTGCGTCGACGAGGTTGTAACGCAGTCATTTTAGACATTAATTTTTCTCTTCAAGCGGGTACATGTTGAGGATCATCATATGGATTTATGTTCGAGTCGCACTCAAGAGATTTAGACATATACTGACGTAATGTACATGTTCTGCACTCATATCATCTCCTCCAACAAGCTGACGTAACGAATTACTATTTTAAATTGATGCGAGTCTTGTTTCACTTAAATTGATTTGTCATTCATTTTATCCTACCTGTTTTTGTACGCGCCGCCATTAATTTTCGTGAGAGAGCCGCGTCTCATCTAGAAATTTTCCACGGAGGCAAGAAGATTGAAATGAGTTGACTGGGCTGGATTTGATTGGTGGAAGTTCTTTTGGCACGCGTCATCGGTTCGCTAATACGCATGCGATATGTGCGCCGCTAATCCTCGTCTCTGCTCTTTTTGCCTCCATTGCCTCAGATCATGAATCCACCCGCATTCTGCCGTGCTAAGGAAAAACGCCGTATGAACATTCGAGAGTTGCCAAATTCCCTCGGATAAAACATGCAGTTTTGACGACATTCATTTTTGAAATTTTCATATATTTTTGCGTACAACATTATCTGAAAATTTCGGGGGAAAATTTCCACAATTTTCTCAGTAAATTCAATTTTTATCAAAGGAAACTTAGCAACGTCTGAAGGCTCATACGGCGTTCTTCCTTAGCACGGCAGTATTAAAGTCAAAGTTGACTC